TCAAAAGCGGATGATGATGATGATGATGATGATGATGATGATGATGATGATGATGATGATGATGATGATGATGATGATGATGATGACGATGACGACGACGATGACGATGAGGATGACGATGGTGACGACGATGGTGACGATGATGATGACGCTGATGATGATGATGCTGCTGATGCTGATGATGATGCTGATGCTGATGATGCTGACGATGACGATGACGATGCCGATGACGACGATGATGTTGTTGATCATGATGGCGATGGTGATGGTGGTAATGACAACGATATATGTGATGATGATGGTGGTGATGATGACGATGATGACCATGATGACGATGCTGACGATCATGATGATGATGATGCTGATGACGATGACGACGATGATAATGATGCTGCTGATGATGATGAAGCTGATGACGATGATGGTGACGAAACTGATGATGATGATGTTGATGATGATGATGATGATGATGATGATGATGATGATTGGTATTGTGATGATGATGTTGATGATGATGCTGTTGCTGATGTTGATGTTCATGATCATGATCATGATCATTATCATGATGATGCGATGGTGACGATGATGATGATGCTGATTCTGATCATGATGATGATGAAGATCATGATGATGATGATGATGATGAGGACGATGATGATGATGATGATGATTATGATGAGGATGATTATGATGACGATGGTAGTAGTGATGATGATGATGATGATGATGATGATGATGATGATGATGACGATGATGATGATGATGATGATGATGATGATGATGATCATGATGATGATCATGATGTGATGACGATGATGATGATGGATGATGATGATGATGATGATGTGATGATGTGATGATGATGATGATGATGATGATGATGATGATGATGATGATGATGATGATGATGATGATGATGATGTGATGATGCTAATGCTGATGCTGATGCTGCTGATGATGATGATGATGATGATGATGATGATGATGATGATGATGATGATGATGATGATGATGATGATGGTGGTGGTGTGGTGGTTGGTGGTGGTGATGATGAGGATTTCGAGGAGGAGGACGAGGAGGATGAGAGGAGGAGAGGAGGATGGAGGATGATGATGATGATGCTGATGATGATGATGATGATGATGATGATGATGATGATGATGATGATGATGATGATGATGATGAGGATGAGGAGGAGGAGGAGGAGGAGAGGAGGAGGACGAGGAGGAGGACGAGGAGGAGGACAAGGAGGAGGGTGAACAAATAGGCGGAGGAGGATGGCAAGCAGAATGACCAGGCGTCTTGGAGCGTCTTGGGGGTCTCTTGGCGGTCCCAGGGTCCCCTTGGGGCGTCTTAGGTGCCTCTTGGAAGCCTCGTGGGGGCGGCTTGGGGGCTGCTTGGGGCCGTTTGGGAGCCTCCTGGGGGCGTGCGGTGGCCCCTGGTGCCTTCCAGGAGGCCATGCAGGCTTTCTCAGGACTATGTTAGAGGATCTCGACCAAAGAGGGGGGGCCTAATTAGCGCACCCCGTCTGGAGCCCTAAAAATCGCCTCTTCAGGGCCTCTTGGAGCGCTCTTGGCGCGCTCTTGGGGCCGTCTGGGGACCACTTTCAGCGTCTCTTGGGCCCTCTTGTGCCATCTTCGAGCCTTTTTGAGTCCTCGGGAGCCCATTGGAAGCGAAAGGGCGAGAGGGCCAAAATCATTGATTTTCTTTGGGTTCTGGAGCGGTTTGGGCTTCTTAGGGCCTCCTTGGGGGTTTCTGTGGCCACTTGGGCCCATTCTGGGGCCTGCATGGGGCCACTTGGAGGCTTCTTTGAAGCCATATAGAGCGACTTGAACCACATTGCGCCGTCTTGGAGGCCATCTTAATGCATCTGGGGCAATATTGGAGCCCTCTTGGGCCAAAAGCTTCCGGAAGTACCCCCGAACCGCTAGCATCCTTCGAAACCATTGTGTTGTTTTCCATGTTTTCGTTTATCAAAGAGGGGATGCCCCTAATTAGCGTCGCCCCTCTTGAGCCCCAAACAGTCGCCTCTTGGGGCGCTCTTGGATCGGTCTTGGGCGCTCTTGGGGCAGTCGTGGGGCCTTCTTGGGCCTCTGTTGGGGCCCTCTTGGGTCGCATTGGAGCCATATTCAGGCCTCGGGAGCTTATTAGAAGCGAAAGGACGAGAAAGCCAAAATCATCGATTTTCTCCAGTTGGTTTAAGGATTTGGGTCTCTTGGGGGCCCCCCTTGGGAGGCTTCGAGCATGTGAGAACCCATCTTGAGAGCGATCTTAGAGTATCTCGGGGTATCTTGAATGTAATCTTGGGCTTTCGCAGGCCCTCTTGACGCCATCTTGGACGTCTCAATGACCCGCGACCCTCCCCCTCAGGTCCAGGGGGAGAAGGTAGGGGGAGGAGTCAGCCCATCCCCCAAGGGAAAGAAAAGGGTTGGAAGAAGAAACGCGCTAAACCACCTCCGCTCTAATGACCCGTTGGATTATGTTGCGTTTTCCGCAGAACTTCATGTGGAGCTTGTGTTGCACTGTTCGGGACACTGTTGGAACCCTGTTGGGGTGGCTCTGGCCCTCCAGAGCCGTCAAGAGAAGGCGAGGTGCCCGGAGGAAGGCCCCAAGGGGGTCCACAAACAAGACACGCTTGGAGGTTCTCGCGTGATTTGAGGTCGCGCCCTGCTGTAGTCGTTCAAGGCCTTCTTGGCACCCTCCCAGGGCCTCTCCTGGAACCGCCCTCCTTCTCCTTTCCCCTTCCCTCCGAAAAGTCTCCCAGTGGGTCATGCCATCCGGCGCATTCGTTCCTGGCACCAGCGGACGCTGGGGCATCGGTTCCATTCTTTATCTTCCCTCCTCTCTCTCGCCCCCCTCCCCTCAGTCCCTCCTTGCCCGCTACCCCATACATATGGCCTCGCTTGATCGAGTAATCATCTTGTACAGCGTGAGCTCCACAGTAAGATGGGCCGCAAACACCCAACGAGACCCTGGACTAGCCCCGGCGGCGCCCAAGAGACCCTTCTCTGCTGGGGCCAGGCTCATGTTGATTTTTCAAACCATGCTGAAGCCATTCGTCGGTACGTGCATTCGTGCAGCCGTGACTTTGTCAATGCGCGCAGCCGTGGTCTTGTCAAGCGTCTGCGCTTGCTAGAACCTAAGCGCGCGCGAAGCGCGCGTGGTTCTAGCGTATATGTATATATATACACACATACATGTGTGTCAGTAGGCCCAGGGGGGCCATCTCGGTGCAACTGTCTGGCATGGAGGGCCCGGCGGGCTTCCGCCCGCCAAAAAGGCCTTCAAGGGGGTTCAGAGGGCACCTGAAGCAATCTTCACGGGGCCAGACAGCACCGCAGCGCTCCTAGTACGCCGACCGTTGCTTCGAGACGGCTCACGTGGCCTCACCAGGACAGGGAATATGTCTACTTGTGAGGCATGTCGGGTTTTCAGGGGGACCTTTTGGGGGCGTCGGACAGCTTCTCTTGGGCCTGCTGGAGGCCTGGGGGATTCTGAGGCGCCTTTTGGCGATCCCGGGGGTCCTGTTCGAGCGGAGGGTTCGAAAAGTCAATTCGAATCACCTCTCTTGGGCTCTTCTTTGGGCCTTGTTGTGGTCCTCCTGCGCAGTCTTGTGGCGCCTCTTGGGTGGGCCGTCTTGGGGCTCTATGCCCTCTTGTTTTTTTGGTGTGTGTGGGGGGGAGTCGGTTTGGAGAGATCTTGCGGGCCTCTTGAGCCGTCTGTGGAGGTGCGAATACCAGAATAGTATACAACGAAGCACGCTTTCCCCCCCGGGATTAGGGCGATTCGTGCCTCTTGAGACCTTTTGGGCCGTCTTGAGCATTCCTCCGCGTGTCGGAGCTCATCTTGAGCCAAGTTAGAGGTTTTCCTGCGCATCTTGGAGGTCGCAGAGTATAGATTCGGAGGCTTCGGAGGTCACTGGGATGCGTTGACGAGGCCCCCCCCCGCTCTGACGCGATTTTAGACCCTAGGGGAAGGGGAAAGGAGGGCCACTACGTTTCACACGCCGTGCGCCCTTGGCAACCGGGGGTCGGCGGATCCTTGGAGCGGTTGCGAACTTCGAAGACGAATGTGCGCCACGCTAAGACGAGAGCCCCATTTTGAAAGTGACCTGTGCTCCATCCGTGTAACTCCTTGGAAGCGTTTAAGACGAGCTTTTTGAACACAACCCCTTCTCCATCCTTGGAATTCTTGCAGTTTTCATGCTTCAGGATCTGTGGTGAGGAAGTTAAAGGCGACACACCCCGCCCGCCCTTGCAACGCGTCTGGGGGTGCGACATTGGGGTTACTCGTGAGGAAGAGGGACGGAATATCAGGAAAAAGGAAGATGAGAAAGAGGCGGCGGCGGACGGTGACTTGGACGCTGGGTCGTGTTTTGGCCGTGTGGCCTCTCGAGGCCTTCGACTGCAATCGGCGCCACCCCAACATACATCTACTATATGTGCGTCGCCCACCCAGGGGCGACGCGCACAACGATAAATCTTATTATGATAGTATATGCGTCGTGGCGGACGCTTTCTGGCCACACCGCTCGGGAAACGATGTGCTACAATATGGGTGTACTACATGTTCGGGTCGGACGCGCGCCTCCGAGGCGGGCATGTAGTATCAGTATGTCTCCGTCTGTCCCGTGCAAGAGGCCGCGTAAAGATGTAACATCGAGGGGCCCACCGGGGAAGTGGCAGAAGATGAGCCGTTGGCGGCGCCAGCCCGAGGCCTCGGCAGAGAGCGGCCGGTCTGCCAGCCAGGGATAGTCCAGGGCTGGGGCCAACGGCCTCGGGGGGTGCCCGCAGTCCGAGGGCCTGAAGCCATCGAGGGGCACGGGGTGCAGAGGCACAAGGCCGGGGTGGGGTAGCCCCTCCCCATCGCCTGCACGTTCCCGCTCGTCTCTTCACCCACTTTCTGGAGAGCCTCCGACCTGCTGCACGAAGGCCTCTGTGGTCGAGGCCCCCCCTGCGGGGGGGAGCCCCCCGGGGCGAGACCCCGCCCCGCGCCCGCAGACCAGCACGGCGGAGCCGCCGGCCTCCGCCACCAGCGGCCAGGTCAAGAGTGGCCCGGGGCAAGAAAACCCCGCTCGCCCCGCGCGGCCTCTCGCCCTCCCGCTCCCGCTCGTTGCTCGTGCTGCTCCTGCTCGTGCTCCCGCTCGTTGGGAGGCCGCATGCGAACCCCACCCCACCACCCCACGATCCTAAGGGGTGCTGTGAGGTTCACTTCGTTCGGGACCTCCCGATCGAAGTGAACCCCACCTCCCCACTTTAGAAATCGTGGGGTGGCGGGGTGGGATTCGCATGCGGCCTCCTACTCGTGTGTCCCATCCCTCGTGCTGCTGCTCCCGCTCGTGCTCCCGCTCGGGCTCCCGCTCGTGCTCCCGCTCGGGCTCCCGCTCGTGCTCCTCGCGCTGCCGCTCCCGCTCGTGCTCCCATCCCTGAGGGTGTTGCTGGTAGTGCCCCTGGCCCGAGGGGCGCCCAGGAGTTCTTTGGAGGCCCCCACGGCCTCCAGAGCACCCCTCACCAGGCACAGAGGGCCCAATGGCCTCCAAAATGGGGCGAAAAAGTGAGGGCACCTTGGGCCACGGGGCACCTTCAGCAGCACCCGATCTCTGTTCCTCCTTGCCGAGTGCTCCCGCTCCCACTGTCCCCGCAGGGGGGGGGCGTCCTGCCGATGCAAGAAAAAGAGTCTCCGGCCTCCCAGACGGGGCCCGAGCAGATGGGGTCGGAGGATCGCGCCGCATCGGCGATGCATCGGCGATGCAGCTCGGATGGGAACCCGATTTTCTTCGCGCCGACGTCGCCGATGCATCGCCGACGTCGACGATACATCGCCGATGCATCGCCACTGCATCACCGATGTAACGTCGATGCGGCGCGATCCTCCGACTCCATCTGCTCGGACCTCCTTTGGGTGGCCTCTAGAGCAGCCTCCGCCCAGGAGCCTTGAGATCCTGGCGTCTTCGCCCAGTTTCGGGCCCTGGGACCCTTACGGATCGACCCGGCTCGAAACATGGCGTATACAGATGAGGGCCAAGTTTGCGGTCGTTTTTTTTCCGCGATGACCTCATTTTTTTTGCAACGTCAGATCTCAGGCTTTGCTCAGGAGGAACGTTCCCAGACCCCCTCGCGTCGTGGAAGTCAATGAATTGTCTCTGACTCGTTTTCCTAAGTGCGAGTGGCCTCGGGAGTTTCTGAGCAGTGGAGCCGCGTCCGTCTCGTTCGCTGCTCCTGCTGCTGCTCTCTCCCTCTGCTCCGAAACCGCTCCTGCTCAAGCTCTATCAATCGAGGGGCCCCCGGCAGTGCATGGGCGTGCCGTGGGCCGCAGCCGGCCCGTGGGCGGCCTCCATCGCGACTGCGTGGCTCTCGCGCTGCCCCGCCTGCCCAGAGGCCCGCGTGACGTGCGGGGCCTGCCCCGCGTGCCCTGCGGCGGCGGCCGCCGCCCCCTGCCCGGGCTGCCCGAGCTGCCCGGACTGCAGTCTGACCTGCGGGTCCGGGCCAGGCTGGTGGGCGGTCCTTGCCGCCTTGGTCGCCGGGCTCGCGGCTGGCGGCGGCCTCCGCGTGACGCTGGGCTGGGCTGCCCGAGTCGCCTCGCTCTTCGTCGGCGGGACCGACCCGCCGCCTCTGACCCTGCTCGTCGAGGACGACGGAGCTGGCCAAGACGGCGGTGCGCATCGCCGCTTTCGGGCGGTGCGGGCCTAGCCTGATCGTCCGCCGTTGGCCAGATGGCGGCGATGCGGACGCTCGACGTGCCCGAGGCGCAGGTGTGCGTGAACTACGACGACGACGACAACTTTCGGTGGCACCACAGGGTGCTCCTCGAGCAGCTCAGCCCTGGCGTCTGGGTGGCGGCGACGCCCGACGGCGAGGTGCTGACGCTGGACCTCAGCAAGCACCTGGTCGTCCCGTTGCGTCGGGGGTCCGCGTTCCCGGTGCGGGTTCGTGGGCAGGTCTATGCGTTCGGCGACCAGTCGGACGAGGACATCGAGGCGCTGCGGGTGGAGGCGCGAGGCCTCGCCCTGGTCATGGGCGTCTCGGCCCCAGCTGGGATTGCTGGGGGCATCGTGCCGCGCTGGATCGTCTCGGACCCAGGCTCGCCCGAGTTTGGGCGCGAGCTGGACCTCCAGCTCATCGGCAACCCGGAGCGGCTGATCAGCCGCGACGCGGTGGGCATCGCGATGCTCAGCGAGGAGGAGGGCTGGGTCTCGGTCGAGAACGTGCAGCAGGCCGACGAGGAGGACTGGCGCGCCGAGAAGCGCCGAGGCCCAGGACGCGACCCGCGGATCCTCCCGCTGGCGCGCCGGGGTCGGGGGGTCCAGGTGTCGCTCGGGGAGGCGCTCGCGAAGATGAACGCGGTCGACTTCGACGACTGGCCCTTTCGGGGGCCGAGGGCCCTGCCCGAGCTGCTGGCCGCCATCCTGGCCACCGGGTTGACCCTCACGTCTTACTGGGGGTACTGGGTCTCGGAGTCGGGGGTGTCCCGGAACGCCGCGGTGGCCCAGGAGGTGCGGCGCGCGCTGAATCAGCTGCACCACGCCGTGACGTACGACCTCGTGGACCCGTCGAACTTGGCGTCTCTGGAGCTCCTGGGGCGCCGAGTGCTGCAGATCCAGCGTGCTGTGAAGAGGTGCCCGCGCCACCCGAGTTTCGAGGGCCTCGGCTTGATGTTGAGCAGCTCTCTGGACGAGAGCGGAGGCATCGTGACGTCGCGGTTCGACGCGTTCGTGGCCGAGGAGCAGAAGTCGCAGGGCATCATTCTGAAGCAGGAGCGGATGTACCGGGAGGAGCAGGAGTCGGAGGCGAAGAAGTACGAGAGGCAGGGCGACGACAGGGAGAGGGGCTCCAGGGCGGATCCGAAGGGCAAGGCGAAGCCGAAGCCCAAGGCCGCCGCGAAGGATCAGGGCTGACGGCGCCATGTCGGCGCCATCATGGCTGGGCCCTCCGCCCGGCCTCGCTGGGCCTGGCCCTGACCCCGCAGCCGCGGATGCGAGTCGGGCCGGGCTGCTCTCCGAGGGGGTCTCCTCCGAGGGTCGGACTTCGTCCACAGTTTTGTTTCCTCTGCCGCAGGGTGACGAGTTCTATAGGCACCCTCATCGCGGAGAACGTGCCGCTCTGCCTCGGTATCTGGCCCAGCGTGCTGCTCGTGCTGACGACCGTGATCGCAGGTCTCTCGAGACTCTGGGCGCGCTCAATGCGCTGGCAGGCGCACGGGCTGGGGGGCGTCTCGAGCCTCGAGCGCCCGGCAAGCATCGGCCGACTACCGCCCAGGAGTCGGTCATCAAGCGAGTCCGACGTCGTATCCGCGGGTTCGGCGACCGGCCGAAGGACATGGACTGTGCTGGAGCCCTTCAGGAGCTCCTCAAGTGCAAGGATCTCTACTCGAACATGGGCGAGGCTTCTACTCGCCGCGACTATGATGCTGACAAGCTCAACGTGTTACGACGTGCGCCACAGGACCGGCCTCGTCAGCTTCGAGACGTTGCCCCTCGGCACGTCACCGAGGCGCTGGACCATTTCGACTCGGACGTCGTTCGCCCCGCGCCGAACATCCCCGAGGACGAGGTCATTGTCGAGCCGTACTGGGACCCTCTCCTCAACCCGCGGGACCCCCAGAACCGGCCACGTCTGGTCGACTTCCTTCGACGACTCGCTGCACGGGGCCTGGTGGATGGCCGGGCGCGTCGGAAGGCGTGCGTCAGTACCTTCTTCGTCGCCAAGAAGAACGGCGACATCCGCGTGGTCGTGGACGCTCGCCAGCCCAACCAGCTGCACAAGCTTCCCCCTCGGACTGTGCTCGCATCGGGCGAGGCGCTGGGCTCGATCAACTTGCTCGACGCCGTCGGCGCGAGCCCTGAGGACTTGGCGGATTTCGACGGCTGCTATGAGTCGCTCTGCGCAGGCTCCGTGGACCTCATGGACGGGTTCTACCAGTTCGCCGACCCTTCGTGGGGCAGCTGGATGTGCTTCGACGTGGAGGTCACCGCTGACGAGCTCGGGATCGACTCGATCTACGACGAGAAGCTCGGGCGCCGCGTGGCCGTATCAGGCGACGACGTCATCTGGCCCTGCTTCGCGGCGCTGCCCATGGGCTGGAGCTGGGCGCTCTGGACCTGCCACGAGGTTCTCGTCGATGCGATGGTCGAGGCGGGCCTCCCGAGCGACGGCTGGTGCCTTGACAAAGCCCGGGCGCCGACTCTCGTCGGACAGGCTGTCGTCAGGGCGCCGTACGTCGACAATGGGAATCTTGTGTCGCTCAGCGCGCCGGCGCTCAACGACCGGCTGGACAAGCTCACCGCTGAACTGGACCGTCGTGGGCTTCGCTGGCACGAGCTCGAGCGCGCGCAGCCCGGCCTTGTCATCTTGGGGCTGGTGCTCGACGGGCGCGAGGGCCGACTTCGGCACGCCGCCAAGCGCGCCTGGAGGCTCTACCTGGCTCTGCACCACGTGCTTCGGATACCATGGCTCGCCCGCTGGCAGCTGCGACGGATCGTCGGCCATCTGGTGCACTACTTCTCCGTCGTGCGCCCCGGGCTCAGCGTGCTGGGGGCCTGCTACACGTTCATCGGAGACGGCGACCTGTCCACTGTCGTGCGCTTGCCTGGAGATGTTCTCGGTGAGCTCGCAGTCGCTGCGGGGCTCGTCTTCCTCGGCGAAGTGGACTTGTGCCGCGTGCCGTCCGACATTGCCTTCGCGACCGACAGCTCGCTGCGAGGCTACGCCGTCTGCGAAGCCCGGCTGGGGCCCTGGGAGGTGCTGGCGGCCGCCAGATGGCGGGAGCGCCAGCGGTTCGTTGCCACCGAGCCCGAGGTTGCGCCTGACGACGAGCAGTACGAAGGACGGGCTGCCGGCTTCTGTGACATCTCCGAGCCACTGCCCGTCGAGCTGCCGCCCCGGCTGCGGCACGCCGTGGCCAAGAGGCGCCGGGTCGAGTTGGAGATCGGCGTCCCGCCCGAGCCGTTGGCGGACGCTCTGCTGGATGCTGGCCGCTGGGTGGAGCGCCGCCGTGGCGCGTGGCGCCGGCCAGGGCGTATCCACGCCCTCGAGGCGCGCGCCGCCGTCGCACCGCTATGGAGAGCGGCAGCCGATGTCAACTTCCACGGGAAGGAGATCCTCAGCCTGTGCGACAACATGTCGTCGGTCCTCGCCTTCGAGAAGGGCAGGGCCACCAATTTTGAGCTCCTGGCACAGTGTCGCCGGGCTGCGGCCGTCTGCTTCGGGTGCGAGATCCGCTGGCGCCCGAGGCACGTGCCTGGCATCTACAACGTCGCGGACCACGGGAGCCGGGCGGCTGACCGGGGTGAGCTCCTCCCCGGACGCTACCGCGGGCGTGGCGCCCTGTCGGCGCCCACCAGCGGCAGCCGCCGAATGCCCGTGGTCCCGCCGGCCGCGGGCAAGGCCGAGGCCTCGCCGACCGCGGCTGTCGAGTTTGAGATCGGACGAGAGCAGGCCGAGCTGCTGGGGCCTGAAAACACCGAAAGAGACCGTTGCATTCCTTTACCTTTGTCACCTCAGCCCGTCTCTGACACGGATTCCCTTTCTTCCCAGAGTAGATGGCATCAAGATGAAGTCTCGAAAGTATTCCCAAACGAGCGACCCCGACAAGATCGACACGACCATGCTCGAAACCCACCTGTTGCACTCGAGCCTCCTGGAGTTCTTCTACGGGGCCCACATGTGCACCTTGGGGCACGCGAAGATCCTCAACAGGACCCTCCTGAGCGCCCTCGGCCTCTTGCGGTTCTACAACGGGGCCCACCTGTACGTCTTGGGCCACACGAAGAGCCTCAACGGGCACTGGCTAAGCGCCCTCGGCCTCCCGAAGTTCCTCGACGGGGTCCCCCTCGTAAAGCCTTCCTCGAGATCTTCGCGGGTACTGCAAATCTCAGTGGTGCGATGCATGAGCGAGGTTTCCGGATCATGCCCCCAATGGACTCCAAGTATGGGCCCCGCTGTGACCTCACAAGCCGACGTGTCCAGCATCTCGTTGAACATTGGCTCAAATCGGGAGAAGTCTGGTGGGCCCACCTTGGCCTGCCCTGCACGAGGTGGGTGCCGGTCGGGGGCGCGCGCGATCCAGCGCCGGCGGACCGCACGCTTGTGGCGTTCACAGTCCGTGTCGTGCGACTCTGCCGGTCCCTGGGGATCTTCGTCACTTTCGAGAACCCGCCTGCGAGCCGTGTCTGGAAGTGGCCCGCGTTGGAGCGAGAGCTGCAGCGCCTTGCCTGGCCGAAGGTGCTGTTCGACTCGTGCAGGTTCGGCGCGCCCTTCAAGAAGCCAGGTGCGATCGCCGGGAGCCTTCCCGGGCTGGGCCATCTTGCACTGCGCTGCTGTTGCGCTTGCCGCCATAGGGTTGAGCTGCAAGGCAAGGTCCGGCATCCGACGCGGGGCTGGACGTGGCGGACGACTCTGGCCGGGGCTTACCTACCCAGCTGGCGCCGCCTGCTGGTCTCGTTGGCCGGCCCAGACGCCCCTCAGAGTGCTTTCGGGCGCTCGACCCAGGATGACCTCCAGGCTCGGGCTCACGCGCTGGCAAGCGCGGCCGGGGTCGCCGAGCTCCGTGGAGTCACGGCGCCGATCTGCCCGCAGCGCTTTCGGCTCCCCTGGAGGCCAGGGTGGGCCACCGCGCTCGACCCGCGCCCGCGCAGCCGCTGACGCGGCCGCTGCACCAGTGCCGGCGCAGCCGCGGTCGCGCTGGCAGCCGCGGGCAACGGCTGGCGTCGACGTCCGCGAGGCAGACGTCGATGCAGGCGCCGACTCAGCCGTGCTGACGCCCAGGCGGGCAGGCCGGAGCCAACGTGACCCTGTCCCTCGTCCAGTGGCCGTGGCCGCCCGGCGCCGCCGGGCGCAGGCTGCCGCGCGTGGAGACGTCGCTGCTGGTCAGCGGCAGGCCGCCCCCGGAGAGTACCTCCGCCTGGCCTCGCTGCGGCCAGCCACGGTCGACAGCTACACGTCCGCCGTGATCGAGCTGACCGACTACGCCAACCGCCGGGGCCTGCTGCTGACCACGCCGGAGCTGGCCGACGAGACGCTCAACTTGTATTTCGAAGACTTGTTCTTTGCAGGTGAGCCCCAGTACCTGGCTCGTAACGCGTTGTACGGGCTCTGCAAAGTTCGAGGATGGTCTGCTAGCCGACCTCGCTTCCATAAGGCCAAAGATGCTCTAACTGGTTGGTCGGCAAAACTGCCGACTACGCCGCGAGAGCCGCCGCCGTTCGAAGCCGTCCAGCTGACCTGTGCCGTGCTCGACAACGGGGCCACGTCCGACCTACTGGCGTGCCTGGCCTCCGTGACTGGGTTTGACATGTACTTCCGGCCAGGCGAGTTGCTCGCCATCAAACCAGAGCACGTCTTCGGCTCTCGTGCGTCGGGCAGGGCTTCTGACATCACCGTCGTCGTGGCACCGCTAGGCGACGACAAGCCAGCCAAGAACAAAGATTTTGACTGTACGGTGAAAGCCGGCACTGACTTGCCAGTTCGCCGAGTCGTTCCCGAGATTCTCTCTAGGCTGCGAGCCCGTGCCAGACGTCAGAAGCTGCCAACTCTGTTCCACCCTCTGTCCCTTCCTCTCTTTGAAAAGACTTTGAAGCAGGCCGCCCACTCAGCAGGAGTTGGTGATCTCCTGTCAGTTCCTCACCAGTTGCGCCACGGAGGGCCCTCGCACGACGCTCTGAACAAAATTCGACCGATCGAGGCCATCCAGCAGCGCGGGCGCTGGCGCGCCCGAGAGAGTGTTCGTATCTATGAAAAGCACGGGTCGGCCCTTCGTCAGAGGTCAAAGCTCACTGAACTGCAGATCTCGTCAGCCGCCCGTTTTACTGACTCGACAGTTCGTGACATCCTCAGGCGCGTGTGCGCCACCTAGTCTTGTCTCTTCGCCCCAGCCTCAGACCTAACAGTGATAATGATTTATACCCACCCGCCCTCCCGAAGGGCATTTGACGATGGGGATGGGGCGCAAATGTACTGTGTGTGTGTGTGTGTGTGTGTGTGTGTGTGGCAATTTTTGGTGATTGCACTTAGCCGCTGAAGTTGTACCACTTCCACGGCTCGTGTTTTTAGAGTACCACCGTGTGCCCCACGGCGCTTGCCTCATGAAAAAGGTTGATGACCCCTCGTCTCTCGGTTTAATCTGTGCGCTGTCGCTGTTTCCGCAGACCCCATGGGGTGGCCACGCCCTTATGATAGGAATGAATTGTCTCTGACTCGTTTTCCTAAGTGCGAGTGGCCTCGGGAGTTTCTGAGCAGTGGAGCCGCGTCCGTCTCGTTCGCTGCTCCTGCTGCTGCTCTCTCCCTCTGCTCCGAAACCGCTCCTGCTCAAGCTCCCACCCACCGTCCCCCACACACCACGCAAATGTACTGTGTGTGTGTGTGTGTGGCAGTTTTTGGTGATTGCACTTAGCCGCTGAAGTTGTACAACTTCCACGGCTCGTGTTTTTAGAGTACCACCGTGTGCCCCACGGCGCTTGCCTGATGAAAAAGGTTGATGACCCCTCGTCTCTCGGTTTAATCTGTGCGCTGTCGCTGTTTCCGCAGACCCCATGGGGTGGCCACGCCCTTATGATAGGAAGATTTGTTGTTTATTTGTTTGGCTCTTTTTTTTTCTTCCAATGTTTGCCCTCTGGTGCCCCTCGCTGGTCCCCGAGACTGGTCAGAAACGAGTCGGGATTAAAAGCAGGTCCCGGGGAATGGGGGGGGTGCGTCTGGGGGTCCACGTTCCCAGACATCCAGCTGCTCCAATTTTTTCGATGCGTGGGCCCTGGAGGTCCAGACCACTTCTCTAGGGCCAGTTGTTCGTTCTGAGTCCATTTTTGACGCTCCCGAAGTCCGGCGAGGGCCCCCAGAGGCCGAAAACGGCCCCAAACCGCTTGCTCCAATTTTCTTTGGAGCGTCGGATCTCAGGGTCGGGACAAGAGCAAGACGTGGGGGGTCTGGTGTGGGGGGTGCAGGCTCAGGCAGGAAAGCATCCGCCTCCGGTCGCCCACTTGGTTGCCGAGGTGCCCGCTGATTACGTAGGAGCCCACTCTGTCCCAGGAGCCTGCGGCTTCGCGGTCGGAGGCTGTCGCCGACCTGTCGGCGATGCCTCGCCGATTCGAGCTCGATGTTTCCCCCCATGAGCTGGTACCCCTCGGCGGAGGAGGAGGAGGAGGAGGAGGAGGAGGAGGAGGAGGAGGAGGAGGAGGAGGAGGAGGAGGAGGAGGAGGAGGAGGAGGAGGAGGAGGAGGAGGAGGAGGAGGAGGAGGAGGAGGAGGAGGAAGGAGGACGGAGGCGGGGGGGGGGGAGTCAGAATAAGAAGGCCTTTCCAGAGGGCTCGGAAGTCCCCCGGTCTTCTGAGAAGTGCTCTGGCCTCCTTCCGCGAAGACGGAGCACAATTTCCCGGAAGGCGCGAGGGCTTCCGAGAAGTCCCGCTGTCTTCTGAGAGGGTCTTCTTCTCTTCAGTTCCCTCCCTCGCTCGCAGCCGTACCCCCTTACCCTCGTTCTCCTCGTTCTCCTCGTTCTTCTCCTCCTCCTCCTCCTCCTCCTCCTCCTCCTCCTCCTCTTCCTCCTCCTCGTCCTCCGAGAGGGCCAGGGGAGGCAGCGGACGCCCTGCCGGGCCTTTTTCTTCGCCCCCCCTGTGGCCTCTCCGGCGCCACGGCGGGATGCGGCGCCGCCAGACGGGCCCGCAGGGGCCGCAGGGGGGGGGCAGTCGCCCAGGGTCCGGGGATTTCCCTCCTCCCTCCCTCCTCCCTCCTTCCCTCCTCCCTCCTCCCTCCTCCCTCCTCCCTCAGGACTCCTCCCTCCCCTCTCAGGACTCCTCCCTCTCAGGACTCCTCCCTCCTCAGGACTCCTCCCTCCTCCCTCCTCCTCCCTCCTCCCTCCTCCCTCCTCCCTCGGCTTTGGCCGGATCTGGGCCAGGCGGGGGAGAGCCGCCGTTGTCTCGATGGGCCTTCTCCGGGTGAGCGCAGTATCGTTGAACCGACCCCCCCATCCCCATCCCCATGCCCTTCGAGACTCCACCAACTTCCCACCCCAGTTGGGGCTACACCCCTCGAGACCCGAGGGGAACGGCCCACATCCTCATCTGGGGGGGCAAGTCGGCCAGTGGGGCCTAGGCCACGCCGCTGGCGATGGGGATCGGTTCCACGATACTCATGAGCGGCGCCAGAACGACGCCTTCAACTGCGCGGACACTCGCGCGTAAGCTGCCCGCGTAAGGTCGCGCGTGAGTGCCTTCATTTCCAAGGCAGCGTTGCGCGCGGGCGGTCCGCGCAAGCCGTGGCGTGAGGTCTCAACGCCATCTCGCGTGGGAGTCGTTTCTTTTCGTGTTGCGTGTCTCTATCTACGCGGATGGAACGGGAGGCAGTCGGGCTGCAAGCATGCCAGTGGTCCCAGCGGTTGCGGTGGTTGTTGTCTATCAGTATCCTGACGGGGCTTTCACCGTCGCAGGATACATCACTGCTATTGTGCCCGAGGATCTTAAAGAAGTGTTTCCAGCTCAACAGTCTTCTGATTCATCCGAACTGATGATTGCTGTGTGTGCCCTGGCATATGTTGCCCAAGGACCCTACCCCGACGTGCCAGTTGAGTTTGTGTTTGATTCCAAGCAGACCCTCTGCGTCATCTCAGGCTCCCAGCATTTCGATTTCAAAAACTCGGTGTTGATGTTTTTCCGTTCCGTGACTCAATGGTTCGGGGGCTCCAGGGGCCTGTCGTTTCGTCGCGTCTCTTCTCACATTGGGGAAGGTTTCAATGAGCTAGCTGACACGATTGCTCGTTTGTCTGGAATGGGTCTATTACCATGCCCATCCTACATGCTTTTCGCGAAATAGCTATTTGATGCTACCCCAGTTGCGTGGCTTTGGATGCACGAGCAAGGCCTAGCCGCACAATGCCCTGAGACTCCGCTCTCCCGAATTTCCGAGGGCAATTTCCTGGAGGTTCCTAACGTGTTCGCAGGAGGATACACTACGAAAGACATTCTGGGTAGATTTCGTCAGCTTCCAGGGCCTCGAGTTCCCAGATCTTGTGTTCTTGGAGGGCCCTCTAGTCTTACTATCAAAGTGGGCCTGGCTAATATGCTTACCCTTAGAGAAAATACCGACAGGTGGACCAGGACCAGTAGGAAACGAATGTCGGCCAGGACACAAGAGAGATCTCATTGGCCAGGCAGACTCACTATGTTGGCTAATCAGTTTTCGAGAGCTGGCTATCACATTGTCGCGACCGTCGAGACCCCTCTCCGCTTCCGCATGCCTAGCCGTGTTGGTAATTTCGCTGTCTACTATGCTGCTTGCAGTGAAGATGGTGAGGACGTTATCGCTATTTGGGTCAATGTGGACCAGCCCCCGGGGGAGGGTAGGCCACCACTCTCCAAACAACAAGTGGCTATCGCACACTCAGCGCCACTGCGTCTACTCTTGTCGGCGCAGCTCCCAGACGCCAGTTTTTTTTTTTTTTTTTTTTTTTCTTTTCTATCTTTGCGGGCCACAGGCCCCACGAGGCAGTCCAAGAGCCCAATGCCCTGGATAATTGGTGGACCCAATCCCAGGCTATCCTACAGCCCCTCGCCGACGGTGGGCACGTAGTGGTTTCATGCGTCGACGCTAATGCTGAAGTTGGCTCGAATACCAGTCCCCATGTTGGGGGAGTTCAGGCTGATAACGAGGACCTCCCGGGTGACTGCCTGCATAGGTTTTGTTGCGAACTCGATTTTTGTATCCCTGCTACCTTCCTTAGCCTGGGGGACTCGGGGAAAACCTGGGCCTGCCCTGGCGGCGAGGTTTCTAAACGTATCGACTGTATCTTGGTTCCTAGGGGGCTTCTGAAGGGGGCTTCTGAGGCGAAGGTTGACCGTGGAGTTCACCTCGCGAGCGCCGTGCGCGACCGCGCGTGTGTGTCGCTCAAGTTTGTTCTTCCCACGGACAAAAGCAGCCCCCCTTTTTCGACTGGAGGAAACCGGTTATTGACCCCGAGCGCCTCCAGGACCTCACCGTTCGTAAGACCTTCCAGGAATTTTCAAGGACTCTCCCAAGCATGCCGTGGCACGTGTCTCCAACGCTCCAGTGCGCCGCCCTCGACAGGCAGCTCGCGCAGTTGGCGGTCAGCCGCCTGCAGCTAGAAAAAAAAGTTAATGAGGAGTGGCTTCACCAAGGCACCCTGGACCAGCTTGATCTCCGAAAGGCCGTCCGAGGCCGCGTCAGGTCTCTGAAGCGTCGGGCCCAATGGGCCCTCCGCGCCTTGATCTTTTCCGCTTGGGCCGATGTCAGGCCTCCGTTTCCTGGTGCCCTCCCTTCCCAAAGATGCATGCTCGGATGGAGGAGTAGTTACCCAAGACCCTAATGTGTCGGACAAAGAGAACCAACCCCCCTGTAGTCACCAGGACGATGTCCAGGACTCCCCCCCTGTGGCTCACCAGTGGATCTGGGGCCGCCTGCGGATCCGTTCTCACGCGGGTCGCACCTCCCTGGCCAAGAAGCCCCACGGTCTGATTTGGGATTTCCAGGGCTTGGCTGAAGACATTGACTCTG